AGAGTCTACTAATATGTAGAAAATACATGTTTTTCTCTCCGCCGAATTGTGCTTTTTCTCCCCGCCTGGGTGGGGGGGGGGCAGCTCTCCCCGACAGGGGCCTAGACCCTGGCCTCCCCGCTGGCGCCGCCCTGTCCAACTTTCATATTGTGTGTTTTGAGGATAGCTTTATAATCATGTAAAGTACAGTTGGTCTGAAGAGTGTTTTCTCAGTTTTGAAAATGAAACGGTCCACAAAAGAATTTTTTCTCTCTGTCAACATTTTAGTGGATCTGATGGGGTGGGGGTGTGTGGCAGGGGACTAACCTCGCTCCTTAACACTTTGGGCAAAACAAAATTAAAAGAAATAAATAAAAAATAAAAAAGAATCTAGACCTACATTTTCAGGACCCGTGAACTGAATTTTTTTTGTTACAATGGGAAAATTAGAAGTCAGAAAAGCTCATTTCCCGCCATCTATAGTAATCTAAATTTTCCCGGGGGAGAACCCTCTGTATTTTATGCCGCGCGAGATCGTTTACGACGCAATGAAAAATAACAACCAAAGTTTGGATGGAAATTTTCATTTTATTAACAAATGATGAAAACAATAAATACAATTAACTATAGCCAGATATATGAAATGGGCAGCCGACAATAACTCGTAGATTTATTAAATGTAATAGGCCTAGTAAAGCTGTCCTAATATACAATACATCCTAGTCAGTCAGTCAGTGGGGGAATCAGGGAGAGGGAATTTTAAAAATAGTTGACGTCAATACGGTATGAAAGCAGTATACTGTAGTAAAAGACCGCATATGGAAGATGTGTGCTATTAAATTACGCACGCTACCCACAATGCAATAATATAACGCCCTCATGATTAATCGCCAAGATTCTGCACTCGTGCGACACAAATATATATATAAAAAAAATACCGATTTTTGCCAAGCGATGGTTAAAAGTTTTCCATGACATTTGAAGCAATATTTTCAATGTTATTTAGTCAGAAATTCCTTTCTAAACTTATTTATGTTTTTACAAAAAAATAAAATTTAAAAAAATTAAAAAAACACGTTTAGATACATTCATTAAATATTATTTAACAGTTAGGCCTAGTAGAGCTAACAGTCTACTAGTTTACTCGATGCAACTATATTTGTATATTGTTTCACTATTTAAGCTGGTAAAGCAAGCTATTCGCTAATATGATGAATTTTCGGATTGAATATTAAAAACTATATCCTAATTAATTTCTTCTCACCCATGAAAACGTCTGGCCCGTAATCTCCTCAAGCTTCCTATCAAAAGGATTGAAGAATTCCTGTAATTTCTTCGTAATATCTTGTGACAACACAGGATGTGTTCGACCCTTAAATCCTCTCATACACTCATTAACTGGACGAGCTAAACAATAGAAACGTTTTACTGGGTTGAAATAAAAATGTTTTTCGGTAAAATATGTTTGCAGTCCAAGAAATGTCTCCATGGTTTGCATAACTTTGTATGGATTTTTAGTTAAGTCATTTCCATCAATAAGAAGTATTTGATCTCTTGGGTATTGTTTAAACCAGTACCCTAAGTTGTTTACATAAATTCCTTGTTTTAGTAAACTACTATTGACTCTTACATTTCCATTGGCATCTATTAGGGAATCTTTAAGAGAGCTGACGAGGTCATAACTTTTCCCTAGTCTTGCGACGTCTTTTTCATAATCATTAGACCCGCTCTTTTTAGCTTCATCAAGGATTGCGTGTATGTGTGTAAAGTCGGATACAGCACGTGCGACTGGATCACGTAATATAGCAATTATACGCACATCCGAAGGTAAATCCTTTCTGATTTTATCGCAGGTTTGTGGCGCAAAATAACCAGGGGATTTGTCTAGCACTGTCTGATTTCTTAACGCATATGGCATTTGCGATTTATACCAGTCTATTCCATTGGAATAACGTGTTGTAAAGTAGTCAATCGCCTCACGCACGGGTGCTATTTGTGGATGAAAACTAATAAAGTGTCTCAGGGTTCCTGTTCCGCATTTTTTCACGCCTATTATTATCGCATCCGGTAACCGTTGTTCACATCCACTTTGGCGCAACTGTTTTATTGGGAGTACCTTCATTTTATTCTGCCTGAATCCAGAGGTGTAGCAATATTTGCAATCACGGCAAATGTCATCCTTAACTATTGGGATAAGTACATCTTTCTGAAAGCCTTCAATTGATGAAAGCTCAGTCTGCCTAATTTTTACATCATTCTGTAGTCCTCTATTAGACGAGATCCGATTGTATACTATTCTCAGCAATACAACAGTCACCAAGATAAAAAGTAGCGCACTCGCTCTTGTCAGAATACGTTCCACCTTCATGTTTACCATCAAAAGCTGATTCTTCAACAGTTTACTTTTACATTTATCTGTGAAATTAAATTTATTAGTAATAAAAGTGTTGAAATGAACAGATTGTTAATTTCTAATCATTCTAGTCCTCCAACTAATTATGAAAGTCCTAATTATATTAATAATGTTTTAATTGTGGCAATAATAATACTATAATAATGATAATATCATTGCAATATCATTAAAAACAATAACTATAACAATAACAGTATTAATAACAATTACTGCAATAATAATAATAACAGCAACTATATTATTAACAATAATGAAAATATTAATAAAGATATTAATATAATAAAGTCAAAAATAATAAGCACGTTTGCAACTGAGAGGAAAACGACGTGTTGACCCGATGCGCGGTGGCGACTATGGTAACAACACCAATAACAACAACAACGATGGGCTAAATGATTTACATGTATGCACATAAACAAGAATTGATATAACACATTTTGTATTTCCTTTAAGACATACCGAAAGAAGAGCATTGAATGTTCTTACCTAATTTAAATAACATTGTCTAAAGCAGTATGCATTGTGCTTAAAGAAGCTGCTAAGTACAATATGATGTTCTTAAATTCGTATTAACTTTATATTTAGACCCTATGTTAAATTGCAAAATCATACAGTGATGCATATTGAACCAAAACTTGTAGTATTTTGTTTAATGATTTTTTTTTTCAATAAAGTTGTAATACAATGATCTTTAAAAATTGGATTCCTCCAGCAAAATATCTATAATATTTTTCACTTTCATTAAGTCACCGATCGAAAAAAAGTCCAATAGTAATAGCTTTACTGCATGTTTTTTTTTTTGTTTTTTTGTTGGTGAATATGCAAAATGTTATCTAAGAATGTTCGTGAATTTGTAAAAAGAAATCTTGCTCTATTATCAGATAAAATATTATCGTATTGAACAAAAAAAATCCAAAATTTAATGTATATAATAATAATTATTATTTATTGGCCCTCATTCTTATAAGAAATCGGAGAATTCGGGCTGGGGCCCTGGGGACCCATAACAGCCATACAGGGCAGTGCCATCCAACATAACTACAACATAATGAACACATACGGATACAAACAATGTCCTTAACCCGCCTAACTCTCTCAATATGAGGGTTATTTGAGGAGACAAGCGACTCCAATTAAAACCCTACTGAACCGGCCAGCTTCAGCAAGAGAAACAAAAGCAATACCTCTAAGCTACCTTATTTAAATGAAGTTTCTATTAGATTGAGGTGACAGAATTTCATTGAGTTACCTTTCTCTACATTTCTAATCAAAATAGTGGAAAAATGTGAAAATATCAGCATATTTATACTTACTCATTTGGAATAAATAGGCCTACCCTATTTGCCGAAGAAACCTCATCACACTGTTATAGGATAAATATTTTAGAACGATGCCTCCACGAAATCAAAATGGACTTGCAATCGTCTTTTATTTACTCCACAATAGAATGATACATGAAGCTATAAAAGACATAGAACTACTCTATTATATATGGATTATGACGGACTTCAGAAGTAACCATTGTTTTGCATGACTGCATCTTTGAAAAGGAATTCACATAGAAACCGAAAGGACAGTGGAATGGTTATGAGTGAGAAAAAAATATGCCTATATAAACGACTTAATTGAAGTGAGTTAAATCTAAGACGTATTTATCATAAAGTATAAACAACCGACGTTAATAAAAAAACTTCAGTAGTTAATTTAACAACTTTCAAAATGTCAAACTAAAACGTACGTGCCGATATTTCAATTGTATTACGAAGCAATACCTGAATACAAAATAGATTAAACGGAAACAAAGCTGTACTTGGCTTCCTTTTGTGAAAGAAAATTCTGCTTGCAGTGAATCAGACCAAAAAAGATATAGGAGACAAATCATATAAGTTTCCCACTACACTTATGGTGTTTCAGAATGATATGATTGGTCGAATGATGTATTTATTGTTGTTTTAAAAAATTGTACAAAATTGACCGAATTGTTAATTGGTGAAAATTATGCATTTTATTGTATTATCAATTAGTATTTTATATACTTATAATTATAAAATGTAAATAATCAAGTAATTTCAAATATAATAATAATCAATAATAATAATATAGTAATAATCAAGTAAGTAAATTAGTTTCTCAAATTGCTTTTGTAAAAACAGAGAAATATACAGTACTTTATTTTTACATGACATTTCAAATTGTGAAATTGTGTTAAATTATGAATAGTTGTTTCATAGTGTATTCTTTGTACTTTAAATGTATGGTTACAGTTATACTTTTTGTGGCTACTGAAAGTAGCTACTATGTCATCGAATGGTTTACCGAGGTAGGTGACTGTGAATCTCGGTACCAGTCGACACCTTTGATCACGAGCCGAATACAAATCTACACTAATAATTAATCTGGTGAATATTTCCGATAAAATGCGGGCGGTTACGAATGTTGGAGGTTACGGATGTTACGTAAATTACTCGACACTCAGCGGATCCTATTAGTTTTATATTATGTTTTGTACCTGCCTCCACATTTTTTATGTGCGATGCCAAACAAAAGTAAGTTCTGTGTAGGTAGACCATGTTTGATTCACTAAATTTGACTCTTTTAGTCCTTTAGGTGAGCTACTGATTTCCATGTGTTACTATTAGATGGTATTAGGCCTAATTATTGTAATTGTTACGCTAAATGAAAATTTGCTTTGACGTTTCATTTCGAGTCTTTCCGTGAGTTTCCGTTTTATAGTTAGGCCTAGTATGCTGATTTATCATTGACCAGCCGGTGGAGCGACAATTTTACTCGTACGTCGTCGATTCGAGCCCTTGCTAGGACTAGGCCTAGTTCACCATACATAACGGACTAGTAGCAGGCTAGGATAAATTATAAACTAATACTTTAGGCCAGGATGTGATACAGAATCTCGGAATATTCAGCACTTCCAGGATGGCATTCCAAGGAGAGGAGAGCCTATTCATGAGATAGGACGAGGGTTGCCAGCGAGGCATGCAATTCATGCGAGCCATGAGGGAAATTCATTCGGGACGTGTACCAACAGTGCAAATCATGCGAGGCACACAAAATTTCACGTTAATAAACACTTGTACAATTTATAAAACAATTACAAATGAATTAACTACTTTAACATAATTATTTTTATGTCAAAAATACAATGTCCAGCTATCCAGACGTGACTTCAAATAGGCCCATAATGAAGCTATGTAGCCTTATGGATCTAGGCCAGATGGCCAGGTCGAAATCCAGTTTGCCGAATGCCAGATTGCCGAGATTGCACTGTTTTGATTGTATTTCTCTGCTTCTACTTGTTGGAAGTTATTTTTGAATAAATGAAATGAAATGAAAAGTGCAGAGTAACTTTAAATGGTAAAAACACAAACGTTTTCGGGCATCGCCTTCATCAGGTGATCATCAAACCAGTGGATGCCCCTCAAAACATTATATGAATGAAGAATGTATTTTTAGGCTGGAATAGTGAAGCATGTATTTTTAGAGGGTTTTCAAGGGCTTCACTATTGCTCACTATTTCAAGAGCCATACTATCAGTGATTTAGGCTAGGTAATCTTAGGCACCAATTTTAGTCTACTAAGGCTAAAAGATGGCCCGAGGGTATCCGCTCGGTCTTCTAGCCTTAGTAGATTTGAAATTGAATTAATTATCAGTGTTTACCCTAGTGGAATTAAATTAATTGCTAATTAGGATTTATAAGCCATGCGTTATATTATAATTATTGTATTACTGTATATATAAACGTCACTTAATTATTTGACTGTAATGCCAAATAATATAAGAAAAAAGGTAAGATTAACAATCAAATTATAAAAATTAAAAGAAGAAAAACAGTGAAAGTTTAACATTGTTCTGTGTATATCATTTGAATTTCTTAAAATTTCTAATGAATGACCGCTGATTTTTGTGTAATTTGTGTAGTATTTCAAATGAATATGTACCCACTGTTGTCTTCTAATCGGATTAAATCTGGCCAAATTTTGGCCGATATCGAAAAAAAGTTTGGCCGAATTTGGCCGTGAGATGGCCTGTGTTTGGCCGTGAAGCCTGTCAACTATCTGGAAACCCTGTGTTCACGGCATAATTTAAATGTGTTCGTTTGAAATTGAAGGAATTCAAATAATATACACAGAACAATGTTAAACTTCTTTTAATTAAAATAAATAAAGTAAAATACATGCCCAGCTACATCATATTAAATAGCCTAGGCCCTATGGTCTTTACTTGCTAACGCCCGAAAGTAACCTATGCGTTTGGGCGATCAATTTTTCTTTTTTTCCTTTCTTTTCACCACTCCCCACCCACCTCCTCCACCCTAAATCCGCCTCTGCTATTTAAAATCACATCATTAAGATTGATCTAAATTGAATTAAATGTATTATATATTAACGTACATTGTAGTCGATCTATAGCAAAAATTTTAAGGTCCTGTTATTGGCAAACCCGTTTCTGTCTTTAATTAGAATGAATTAAGTTACATAGTTAGGTAACACAAACTGGCGTTAAAACAAACCTATGAAAACTTTAAAAAATACTTTTTATCTAAACTTTCTAAATTCGCCTCTGAATTATTATTGTCGCAGTACTTAAAGCAATAAATAAATGTTGCTATCAGAATTATCTTTTTCATTCTCATATGCAACCTAACTCCAGAGTCTCTGCAACACTTGCTTGAAATTGGAGGTGCCATCGGACCCGGATGAGCACATCGAGCATTTATATATGGCGCTCTACACAAAGAACACTGCAGCACCTAGGGCTATACAATTCAAGTGGGCAATAATAAATTAATTAAGTACAGTATTTAATTTATATTCAAATGAAGATAGAACCTCCACTAGAATGGAACATAAACAAAGACACACAGTATGGTACAAACTTGCATTGAACTGTCTTAAACGAGGATAAACTTCATAAAAAAATATGTATTTCATCCGAACAATTTAAATTATTAAATGTAACTGTTATCTTTTAAATAAACTCTCTTACCTCACATCAGCTAAAGGGGGAACATAGATTAAGTGTTTAGTGCAAACAAAGATACATGATTCAGGGGCGGATCCATGATTTTGAAGAGGGGGGTTCAAAACGTTTCCAAAAATACCCAAAATGAAAGGGAGTCCGGGGGTCCTCCCCATGGAAAATTTCCCCCTTGAATCCGCCACTGTATGGGAAATCCTTTTACGCTCAGGGGGCCTAGGGTTTTAAAACAAATACCATATAGTCCTATACTCACCTATAGACGAGGCTTAAAATAGCAAATTACGATCGAAAAAAGGGGGTTGTCTTATACGCACGACATTCAGATTTTAGATTTTTATATTCATGTTCGTCTTATGTGCGGATGTTTTATTTTCTCTCTTTTGTGGGAATCGCCCACTTTTATTTCAATACTTTTTCATTTAACACAAATACAGGAATTTGTACAAAATGACGCTCGGGTTGTAGAAGCCCTTAGATACACAGATACCATTTTCAAAAGAGCTTACAGTTTCTCATCATCATCATTATTATTATTATTATTATTATTATTATTATTATTATTATTATTATTATTATTATTATTATTATTATTATTATTATTATTATTATTTCATTTTTATATTTTTGATCCTTTTGTTAAACATTATGTGCGGATGTTCGTCTTATGTGCGGATCGTCCGTAAATCTGGTTTTCTACTAGGCGAATTTATTCACGCGAATCCAAAGCGTCGGCTTATGCACATGCGCATTCACATTCCTATCGGAGTTTTTGAGAAGCGAAAAAATGCGCAACCAATCAGAGCTCAGGAAGCGAGCCGACGCTTTGATTCGCGCGAATAAATTCGCTTAGTGGAAAACCAGCTTAACACGCGAACTTACTACTGCAATGAAGCAACTAAATGTTGTATCAATGAAAGCAATTTTAACTATGGGAAAATACGATTTCGGTGGTAAAGATTTAAAAACTCATAAAATGGTATTATTTGAAGATTACCCTTGCATTTGGCTCCATTTATCCAGCTAGACGCAGTATACAGGACCACAAAAAAAAATAGGAATTCCGACCATGAAACAGGGAGTCGTCTTATAGGCCAGACATACAAACATCAACCAAAAATCTTCTAAAACTCGGGGGTCGTCTTATACACGAGTGTATACTGTATTATTACGGAACCCCTGCGGAAGTTCGGGTTCCAGTCACATTTTAAAGGGTTGGTTGTAACAATAAACTCGCAAGACTGCTCACGACTACTAGATTCTACAAGTGCGTGGTTGGCTGGGTTGTTTTGGTCGGAAAGGAGAAATTTTCTCTGTGAATTGATTCTCGAACGAGATAAAGAAAGCTCTCTAATGACTCAAGCTACTGCATACCGTTTTAATATTTTTAATAAAACCAATTTCTTCTAATTTTAAATACGTTTTCCCCTGATTTTGTGATAATTCGTCATCGCGCAAGTGCTAAATGCGTG